GTCGTGGGAAGCTTTTACTTTTTGTCCTCTTCCTCCAAGCACTCGCGCATTGTCCAGGTTAATCGGTGCGCAAAAGCGTTTGAACTTGGAAGCGGTCTAGCCTGTGCTTGGTTTACTGCAATCATCTCATTTCCCGAATTTGAAATAGTCGTTCTACACTTTTTTCTTTGGAATGAGGTGGCGCTCAGGGTGTTGAACAAATACCCGTGGATAAAGTAGAGGGGGAGAGCAGCAGGGAGGAATAAACAGCTGGGGTCAGGAGAAAAGTAGGACCGTTGCTTTAGAGGGCAGTGCCAGTTCAGTATCGGTTTAAAATGTTATATGGAACTACCCTGTATATTTCTTGAAATAGTCTTTAAATGCTATCAGAGTGCTTTTAAATCTAATGGGCTTTTTTTATATATATATGTATGACAGCCAAGCCTGTTTCTCATACATGTATACATTGTAAATACTTGTCTTCAAGAGGAAGTTTCAAGTTTTTGGTCCTGGAATATATGAAAATGCTAACGGTTTTCCTTTGTAGTGAGCTTTCCTCATGTCTCTCGCTGCAGAAAATACCCCCATCTTAAGCTGTGAATCTCTGTTGAGCTGCAGCCTTTAGTTCTGTCCTGCAGTAAATTTTTACCACCGTTAACAGCCAGATATGGAAGCTGTACGGAGGAGGAGGAGGAGGATTGACACAGAGGGTGCTGAGAGGCAGAGGAGAATGTTCACCTTTACAGAAAGGTGTCTGTGGCCCCTGGACTATTGATTCATTGCATTTTTATCTAAGTTGGTGGTTTGCTGAATAGATAGGATAGCCAATAAATATTATTCTGGTGCTTTTTTTATTTTATGTGTATTTGGTGAGCAGTCATGCCTCTTGAAGTATGGTTTGCTACCTTGTGTTGTAGTATGGAGTGTGAGAAAAAAACTAAAAATCTGACTCATTAATCTTCTAGATGTTGGAGAAATCTATTCAAGACTACTGGATCACAGGCCAGTAATTCAGGGAGAAATACGTTACTTTGTTAAAGAATTTGAAGTAAGTATCTGTATCTTACTGGGCGCTGTAACCTTCACAATCTGTGACTTTTAACAATCTTAGCATCTTTTTAGAGATGATAACATGTATGTCATTTGCATCAGAAAGATTTGACATGTATTTCTTGCCCAAAATTACTAACATACCTATAGCATATGTCTGCATCTTTATTAAAAAAGGCAGTAATTTAGGTATTTTTATTTAAGAGGTTTTGAAAAGGACATAAATATTTTTCCTGCAAAAGACTGGCAGGAATATTGATGTAGGAAAATGATGTAGTCCTAACATTTTAGAGAAGTTCAGTTAGTTCAAGGGAAATATTGTTGGCCAGTAGAGGATTACATCTGAGTAAGAGACCAGTTTGTGCTTCAGGTAGATTCAGCTGGCACAATCGCAATTTAATTTTGCTTTAATTTTTGTTCTGTGAAAGAAAATAGTATTACTGGAAGAGAAGAGCAACACATTATGCAAAGTAAGAAAATCATTAAAAATTGAATGAATGTTATCTGGTTGGCTGCAAATAAGGCTAAAGTATTGAAGATGTAAAAGTGTTTATATACAGCTTTGCTTGGAAAGTGTAATACGGTTTCCACAAGATGGCAGCAAAAATTTAGTAAAGTAGAATTATGCATCAATAAAAGGCTATTTCTAAGAGTAGTTTTTCATTCTTAAAGAATGTGGGATTTAAAGTCCTAAAATTAGTCCTGAAAATATAGTTGTACCTCAAAATTCTAATGTGCAGAGCTGGTTTAAAAATAAAAAAAAATTACATTAAAATGTCTTCCCCCACCCCGATTATACCTAATATTTCAACCAGGTCTAATTTGTTTCCATGCTGGTCTAGCAAAATACGTACATGAACTGAACTTTCATCGGATCTGTATCATATGGGCTTGAGAGTCATAAGGAATAATTTCTTTTCTTTGCCTTCCCTAAATAAGTTATAGGATACAGTAAATAATTTTACATGGCTTTTCATAGGAAGGAAAATTTTAAACTCAATTACAAGATTATAATGAATTTAATATATTTCTCTCATTGCACTCAAAGTCTTGTTCTATTTCTTAGAACAAATTTCAGATATTCTTAGAAATTTAATTTCCAGTTTATACTTTTAGGGTGGAAATAGCAAAGCAGAGGATTATTTACATTTTTGCAACTGAGAAACGAGTGTAATTTTTGGAAGAAATTCTAACTTTGAGATGTCAGATTTTTTTTTTGTAGTAATAGGACATACGCCTTTTCTTTCAATGATCAGCATCAGGCATGTAAAGAATGTAGATTTGCATTCAGGAGTCTGTTTAATTAAGTGGCTTGTCTTGTCTGTGCCTCAGTTTCTGAAAGTTTAAAATGAGTGTGATGGAGCTGCCCACTCCATGTGATGCAGTATTTTTTTATTACTTAGAATTGCTTTATGATTAACAACTTTCAGTACAGGAATGCTTGTGTGCAATTCTACTCAATAACTCTGAAGAGGGAAAGAAGGGATAAGGAGGCAGGTGGCAGGCTGGAGCAGATTCTAGAATATTTTTCATTGTCTAAAAGAAAGTACAGGTGAAATTCAAGAGTAGAAATGGTGCTGTGGCTTGAGAAATTTTTTTTTTTTTAATGTAAACAATAAAGCAAGAGCTTGTTCTTCTTGTAATTAATAATGATCAGCAGTGAGTCAGAAGAAGGGCTGCCTCTTTAGTCAGCTGTTTTTTGTTATCTTTTAGTTGTGACTTCATTGCTTTGCTTCAGTAAAAACAATTTTACTTGCATTGTTTTAACCCTATACCGTATTAAATCTGAAAGGTCAGACATCAAGCAAGCAAAATCAATGCTATGTTATTTCTCTGTAACAACTGAGTTATAAAAATGCAGTGCTTTCAAGCTCTGTTTCTTTCTGTTGTTTTTTATTTGTTCTAAATTACCTATACAGAACAACACCTTTTTCCGTACAATGTTTTTATTAGTAAATACAAACTTTTCTCACAAGGTCCAGAAGCGTCATTCAAAGTATTCCTGTATTTTAGTGTGAAGAATGGAGCATTAACTTTCCCTTTTCACAAAACTTATTTTATCAATTGTGCTGAATAAGTAGAGTAACACTTTAATGGACTGTGGTATAGCCTTTGAGATAAAGCTATTAGTATATCTACTGGGAGACTGTCTTATTTTGGAAAGTGGAGTTCCTTGTCAGCCACTCATTTTCTTTCAATTCTTCTGTCAGGAAAAACGTGGCCTCCGAGAACTACGAGTACTTGAAAATCTAAAGAACACAATCTTTGAAACAAATGAACACGTTCTTCCTAAGTGTGAGCAGGCAATGCATGACAATCTCAATGAAGCATTCAAGAGATGTGAGTTGCTTCTTACTTTCCTTGTTGTATCATTTTGAGAAATAATATATATAGTTTGGGTTCAGAATATAATTTGTGGAAAAATTACCATCCTTGGGTAAATTTTTGACCATTTAGTTGCCTTGTTCTCATTTCTGTGAAATTTTGAAAGGGAGACAACAGGGACATTTTTTGTTATTTATTGGTCCAGCCAACACAGCTCTTGCTAACGGTTACATTAAAGCTTTTTGTTGACTTAAGTAGAAGTTATTTCAGCTCAAGCTTTTACAACTCACTTAGAAACAGGGTAGTGCTCCATGTTGGCTAAAGCCATGGACAAAATTTTGGTTTTCTGGTTTGTCGCAAGCATGCTGTGGTGTGACCTTCAAGTTTCTTAATTTTCCCACAGGAGAGTATAATACTGTCCCCTATGATTTAAAACAAAACTTGTTGGTGTATAGCTATGAAATGTGCTGCTATTATTACTGTCTTTAGTCACAAATAGGGTAGTATTAGTAATAATTCTTGTATTCTAATCTAGTTTCACGTTTTGTATTGAGATTTTAAAAAATTGTTGCACTAATTTTTTGTCTTTTTTTTT